TAAAAACAGCTCTCCTAAGGCAAAAAAAAAAGGGCCAAAGCGAGCCAAAACAAAACATGTAAACCCAAAAACAAAAAGAAAGGTAGAAGGTTAGCCAAAACATGTAAATCAAAAATCAAAAAGAAAGGTTAGAAGTGCCCTATTAGGGACAGTCGCATGACATATCCTCAGGTTATGTAACACCACACAACACCTGATTTGCTTAAATGAATTAAAGGTTGTGTATATTGTAGTGGCCCCCAATAATTAATGCTGAACTTTGTGATTATTTAAATGGCCATTTTATCACTTCATATAAACCCAATGCATCTACCATTCTTAAGAAGTTGCTCCCCACTTCTCTTAATTCTCTCATCATGCACACTATCCACATCAGCAATCTGCCACGTCATTATTCACTTTACATAATCACCCAATCACTTTCCCTCACCCGCAGCCACGTAATCATTCAGTTTCCAATTCCCCTCGAGTCACGGTGGTGGGAAAAAAAACTGCATCCTCCATCCCCGCAGGCACTCCTTTTTCCTCGCCCGCATCCGGCCATCCCGCATCCCGCACGGCACGGCACGGCCGCCGGCCCTCCCGCCCACCTCCAGTCCAGCGCCGGCACCGGTGGTCACCGCTCCATGGCTCCATGGCCGCCCCGCGCCTCCGTGGCCTCCTCCTCCGCCGCATCCCGCACGGTCGCCGGCTCTGCCGCAGGCATCCCGCATGGCACGGCACGGCCGCCGGCCAGCTCCATGTCCGCCCCGCGCCTACGTGGCCTTCTCCGCCGCCGCATCCCTCACGGCCGCCGGCTCTCCCGCAGGATCGGATCCCACCCACCTCCACCTCAGCGTCGGTGCTCACCGCGCCATGGCCGGCCCGCACCTCCACCGCCTGCTTCTTCGCTGGACCGAATCCTGCCGCCGGCCAGCGCCAGTGCTCACCGCGCCATGGCCGCCCTCCCTCGCTTGCTCGCGCCGCCCGTCCACCACGGTGCGCTGCCCGTTCTTGGCCGTCTGTTTCGGCCGACCGGCGGCCGCCGATACGACGTCTTCTGGGCGCTGGGACGCAGACCGGGCGCGGTTCCGTTGCTGCTGCCCCAGGTCGTCGAGGAACAGTACTGTCAGGCTGGGCGGACCCCCTTCCTCTGCTCCAAGCCTCCAGGTGCAGTTGGGATGCAGGCCATCCGCCCTTTGTCCACCGGTGCCATTGCTCTGCTCCATCCTCTGGCCACCGGCGTCGTTGCTCTGCTCCACTGCCGTCATCGTTTGCGAGGAACCCGGTTTTATCCACGTCTTCCCCAGGTCAACAGAGCCGCATTTAGTTCACTGCTTCTGACTAAGCTTCTTGATGTGGAGGTGATGTAATCCCATTGTTCTTCAGTGTTTTTTAGCTTGCTGACACCAAATGGCCCACACTTTTATCTTATCAATTAAACTGTTCAACTAAAAAGCAAATAAACCCTTCAGCTGCAGGTCGTTGATGATTGACTGTTCACTTCCTCTCCCCACGATCTCCACAAGTAACTGACTTATTGATCTCCACAAGTAACTGACTTATTCCCATTTAAATTGGGTGCTCCACAACCCATTTCATTCCCATCGTCCTCCATAGCAGTCATACAGCTACCCCTGGTGAGCAAATCTCTCCCCCGTCCTCATGCACATTCCCTGTGACATTTTTGCTGATTCATCACAGCTTTGGACTTCCTCAGGTACTGGACAAAATTGGACACCCGGCCTCCCATCTTGGTTGTTCTTCCCCTGCTGCATACCCAGACGCCTTGGATTGACGGCTCCTGTAGGTAAATATTGTTGCCATCTATTGCTTACTCTAAAGTTTTGTGTACTTTGTTCATATCTGAATTTAACTGCTATTTCTGAATTTTTGTATGCTTCGCTACATTGAATACTTAGCTCTGCTTTTCTTTATCTGTTCTGAATTTTTGTTTGTCTATCCAATTTAAATTCAATATGGTACAAGAATCCATATGCCTCGCATTCATCCCTTGCATTTTACAGAGTTTTTAGGAGGGTATTCTTTAGTCTCTTCACGCCATCGCCTTGCATTTGTCCAAATCTGAATTTACTTTTGTCAATTGAACCTGTATTCTTCAGTTTTAGTTTTTTATATGGTATGAGAAGACATACACCTTGCATTGCACCCCCTTATATAGTTTGCTTTAGTATCTTCGTGTCATTTATCTGTTCTATCACCTTGCGTTTGGTAGACTTGCCGACATGGATAGGGCAGAAAGCTCTTCGCATAATTCAGTTGGACGAAAACGTCGTCCATCATTACCTAATCCTCCTCCTCGAGTAAACCCATATGTTGCTGCCCAGAACCGCCGTATGCGTCTGGAACTCATGGTTCAAAAAGGAAAAAGAGGTTTGTTAGGCACATTATATTCCTCCGATGTTATCTTCGTTACAATATGTCTTGCGATTTATTTCACCATCTACTTCTTCATATCTATAGTCCTCTTTCGAAAAGCATAGATAGTCCTCTTTCGAAAAGGCAAAAGCAAAGCGAGAGTATGTATTACTTCCCATTACCTATAGTTGAATATCTTGCCAGTGAATTTTCCTGTTCATATATTTAAAATTCTAAATATTTCTGTACCCACTAATGCAGACAATAAAAATGCAGCAAACAACTATGAAAAGACAGACTAAAATGAAAGTGCATACAAGGGTATGGTATATTATGTACCTCGGTTTTTTTATTCAAACATTCAAAACTTCTAATATATGTTGCATTTCTAAAACTACTATGTATCACACTTCATGTAGGCAACTCCCACAATGCTCATACTGGCAGCTTCTACAATGCTCATACAGCCAACTTCCACAATGCTCCAAACGACAAATAATCAAGAATGTTCAACTTCCACATTGCTTTGACACTGCCAGCCGACAACAATAAATTTTTTTGTTGCTCAAATTCTATTGTCACCGAGAATGTTCTCATACCCAGTACCTTAAATTGTAACTGAGATGTCTACTCGTGCGTACTTTTGGTTCCATGCAAGTGCCTTCAGAGTTTTCTGGCTATATTTGCAATTTTGTGCTTATCAACAATGTATACAATCCTATAAATGGGCCATAATATTTTCTTTGTAAACTATACTATCGTGCATGCATGTAAATATTGATTCCTACATTAACACCTCAAATGGTTGTTCTTACAATCACAGTGTAAGTCACAATTGCCAGTTTCTAAAAACTCATTGCTCAGTTAATTCTTTATTAAAGGTTACTAAAAAAAATATTTCGGTTAGACACTATAAATTCATTCATTGCTCAGTTAATAGTGTATAAAGAATTTCTAAAACATC